AATCTTAAAAAAAAAAAACAAAAAACATTCCCCTCTTAGGAGTTCCAAGTATGATATAGAGAGCATGTTATACTCATTTATGCTATGAAATAAGAGAGATATACCATTTAATAGTTAATAATATGCCAAACAGATTTCTTCACAAATTATTGGTTCTTATCCTCTAGTAATTGCAGCAGTGGCTCTCCACTTCCTAGAGGACTAAGACTACACATAGAAGACACTTCCAACTAAGGCCCTGCCTGCACTTCTACCACTCTTCCATTGTGGTTGTATAAACTGTCACTGATGGACTGGTGTGCCACGCTATTTCATACCTTCCTGCCCTTGTACATATAGCTACCTCCACCTGGGAAGCCCTCTACCTCCTGAAAAATTCCTTCTTATTCTTCAGGTGCTACCTTGAATGTCACCTCTTCAGTGCAGCCTTTGCAAATCCCCTAATGCAGTGGGTTCTCAAGCTCTAGTGGCACCAGAATGCCCTGAAGGGCTTCTTAAAACATAGGCTGTTGGTCCCTACCCTCCGTGGCTCTACTTCGGGAGGCCTGCTGGAGCCAAGAACGTGTATTTCCAAGTTCCCAGGTGATGCTGCTACTACACTGAGAGCACAACTACCCTATGGAGGAGACAGTGTGCCTTTGAGCCCCTGGCTCCTTCACCATGCTACACACTCCTACTGCAGACTGGGTGCTCCTCAAGGACACCCAGGACACAAGGCAGCACTCTGTACATGGCTGCTAACCCGATGGATCGATGAATGGATGGATGGATGGATGGATAAATGGACGGATGGACAGTCAGGCGCACTGACAAATGTATGGGTTAGACTGAATTTATTTACATAGCTTTTCCATCCAGGTTCAGGGTCTCACAAATGCTCACACCCACCCTACCCCACCCCCAAAATACCTTCAAAACATCACCTGTAACAGATTCACACTGTACACATAAGGTAAAAAGAAATTCAAGAATTTTGGCCTTGTGTCAAAGGAGTTTTGAGTTGTAATCTAGCACTCTTTCTGCCACCCTGACTCCCCTCGGGCTGTTCACCAAGGCGACATTTAAAGAGTCACAACAGAATGCCCCTGAGCGGCACCTCGCAGAATCCTAACCTGCCCAAGCACTCCCTCGTTTTATATACACACACACGATGAACTGATTTCATTTACAGAAAGTAGATGAAGGTGGTAAGGGAAATGAACGACGAAGGAAGAATCCAAACTCACACAAGGAGGGAAGGGCAGCAGCTCAGGTGGGGAAGACCCCATCAGAAACGTACCAGCTCCCGAGTGGGAGCGTCTGAGCTCTGAGCAGCCATGGGGCGCCCTGCCGTTGAGGCAGACGGGCAGGGGCACAGAGGAAAGGGCACAAGCCCACAGGAGGAAGAAAAGCACACTTTCAGAAGAAAATGAGAGACTAGGAGAGGAACAAAGGCCAGCGAACATCAGCTGGGAGGGGGTAGGAGGACAGGAGGAATGGCAGTCAGCTGCTGAGCTGGCAGCACAGGGCAGTGCGGGGGTGGGGGAAGGTCAATGCCAGCTCCAGCACTTCGCTCTGCCCTTTCAGCAGCAGCAGGCGCAGGGATGAGGGATGGGCTCCACGGGAGACACAGTTGGGGGGATGCAGCAAGGGACAGCAGGAGGACCAAAGTCAAAAGGTCTCTATGCTGCTGGTGGTGCGAGCGCAGCTGCCCATGGTCCTAAAAACTCCTGACTCTGTAGAGCTGTTTTTCCAACAGGCCTGGGCTCACGAGAAGCTTCGGTCAAGCTGCAGCTCTGCTGAAGAGGAGAAAGTCAGCATTCCCACTCTACTGGCGTCCAGGGGTCCAGACATTTCCTGAGGGAACTGCAGATTAGCTTTGGGATTAAGCTTCACTGCCTCCCTCCCCCACTCCACAGGCCCTGCCAAAGAGGATCACAAAGCTGAGACCTCAGGACACTGCAGAGCTGTCACATTCAATTCACCACACAGCCCCAGTGGCATTTAGGGGCAGGATGGATGGGAGCCCACCCCCACCCCAAACAGTGGGAGCAGCTAATGACTGGGTATTAATGACGCTGGCAATTAGCACTCCGGAGAAACTGGTTGGGGGCTGCGCACCAGAGGGATGCGAGAGGAAACAGAGTGCACTTTTGAAGCGGCAAGCAGATGGGTGGTGTGTGTGATGCAGAGAATCTGGGTAAAGTTGCTGTCTCTCGGATTTGTCCAGACAAACTGGGGAGGAGGCCAAGGATGGCATCTATGGACAATGAAAGCCTCCACCCACTCCCCAGTAGCAAAACTGAGATTAATCACAAAGAGGGCAGTGAGAAGTAGTTAAAAAGGTGTTTGTGAAGGTTCTGGAACGTTCCTTGTGTGAGGAGGCCCCAGAGGAGCCCAGTACAGTTATTCCTCTCTTTGCATCTTAAATCCCTCGAGTAGTCCGATGATCCTTTTTGAAGAACCCAATTCTTCACCAGCAAGGGAAGAGCAGCAGAGAGAGGGCTGGAGCAAGCGTGCTCACTGTTAATCCCACAGAGAGCGAGAGGAGAACAAGCATCGGGATGAGATCTATTAGGAGGGTGTCTCCACCTACAAGGAAGAAAGACACAGCTTCCTGGCCAAGCAAAGTCTTCTGGCCTCCAGGTGAGGACAAGAAGAGGGAGAAGGCACTGAACCGTGAGGGTGTATGAAGAAATTCTGGGGGAGAGAGAAAAATGTGCAAAGGCCCATCTCAGAAGTCAGCAGCTGCCAGGAGGGGACCACAGGAAGGGCTGAGGAGCTGTCTCGATTCACACGGGGCCTGTAGCACACTTGAGGGGCCACAGAGAGCCTCCTCCGCACACAAGAGAGACACAGACAAAGGAGAAGCGTTCCAAACCCTATAGTGTGAATAGAGCACCCATACACATGGACTAAATGGATGGCCCGGCATTTCAGAAGAGATGGCAAGGAGGTGAGCCAACACTGAAGGAGTGAGAATGAGGACGACCCAATAAATACTTTAGAGACAGCAACCATGGCAAATACATCCTTTCCAGACAGCAACCCAAAACAAAGGAAATCAGTCTCAGTCTCCTCCTGATGGGAGGTAAGGCCACACCTTGGCCACTTAGATCAGAAGGGACAAGAGGGGCAACGGGGGAAAAGCAAACATTTTCCGTCTCAAAGACAAGGGTGCCTGGACCAAGGAAACCTCATCCAGAGAGAAGGCAGAGGCCTCAGCAGTGTAGCTGCGCAACAGCTGGTGAGGAAAGGTGGGCGAGGCTCTGCCACACCCTCCCCGACACTCCTGTCCTTATGACAACAGTAGGTACGAAGGCAAGGATCTCACAACAAAAGGCTTTGAACCCTGAAAGTGAGTAAGAATTGAAGAAGGTGGCCCTGGCCAGGTGGCCCAATTGGTTGGAGCATCATCCCAGTACACCAAAAACTTGTGAGTTCAATTCCCAGTCAGGGGACGTACTGGAGGCAACCAATCAATGTTTCTCTCTCTCAAAAATTAATAAACGTATCCTCAAGTGAGGATTAAAAACAAGAATTAAGCCAGGTGCAAGCCAGGTGCTATGGGCTGAATTACGTCCCCCCACAGATTCGTATGTTGAAGCTAGTACCACAGAATGTGATTATTTTTGGAGGTGGGGCCTTTAGAGAGGTGATTAAAGAAGAAAAGTTAGAATGAAACTGTTAGGATGGCTTTGATCCAGTCTGACTGGTGTCTTCCTAAGACGGGAAATGGGGACAGACAAGGGGACAGCAGGGGTGCACACGCAGAGGGACGCCCATGGGAAGGAGCAAAAGGAAGGCAGCCACACACAAGCCAAGGAGAGAAGCCTCAGCAAAACCCACCGTGCTGGCACACTGATCTGGGACTCCGAGCCTCCAGAATTGTAAGAACATAATAAACGTGTGTCCTTTAAGCCACCCACTCGGTTGTATTTTGTTACGGCAGCCTGAGCAGACGGACACAGAAGACGATGTGGCAAGGGAAGAGTGGGGTGGGAGCTGGGTGAAAACCCACACTAACCCAAAGAAAGGCCTTGGCCCAGGTGTGCTGATTACTTCAAATATTTAGTGAAGGCAGCCAATCAACATGTGAGTTGATCAACTGAAACGTAGAAGCGTGACCCTCAAGCCCTAGACTCTGTAGATTTTAAAAGACCTGATCCCTTTGACTACACTGAATTGCTCACTTTAAGGCCACCTATCACCAAATCTCACAAACAAAATAGAAAACACATGGCATGTCCACAATCACTGTTTCCCCACTGATCTCGGGACGCCCCACGTTCGGAAGATCGAGCTGCCCCATCCCGTTCTGAGTTCACTGGAGGCCCAGAAACCATGAGGGGTGCTCCAGAGGGAGCGTCAAGAGGTGAATGCTAAGCCCTTTTTGATGTCCTAGTTTGTAAGCGGAGGTTGGGGGAAGAAAGCAAATAACAAAACAAATCTTGGGGGTCATTTTGGGTCATTTTTGAGCCCCATATCCTAAATATCCAGCACGCCCAGACGTCTGCTGACTGTGTGCTCAAGGGAAGAGCGTGCATGTTCCGGGACGGTGTTTCCAAGGCAGGAGAGCCCTGTGCCCAAACTGTGACCCCAGTAACAGCCAAGACAATACATCAGGAACGTGCTACATCTCTTGGTGGCCAAGGACACATCTGGAATACCCGTATGAATTGACACAGCCAAGGGAAGTGCCCGACTCAGGCAGGCAGCTGTACACAGATCACCAGGAGCTGAGAAGAGGAGGAGCGGATCTGGCATTTGATAAGGGGCAGGTAAGGATGTTTCCCTTCTGCATTAACGGCCCCCTCCTTCCTTCCTCTGAGAGCACAGCTCACTGTAAGCCTGGAACTCAGCTGACCCACAGGGGTGGCTAGGTTGAAAGGGCCAACTCACTACAGGACACTGAGACAATTCAGAGATCACTACCAGTAGATGCCACAGGCGATAAAAGGAATGCTCCACAGCCCTGCCCACCACCCACATCACAACTGCCCCAATAACTGGGAACTCACGTCTATGGTTCTCATTTCTGTGGTTGGGTGGGGACCGGGTCTCCTGGTCTTGGGCTTCATCCCCCTCCTCACTGGCCAGGTGAGTGTGAGCGTAGTGGTAGCTGAGTCCTGGCCGGTTCTTGTAGCGCTTGCCACAGACTAGAGAGAAGAGGAAACAAAGGGAAAACACAAAGGTCAGCGACCTTCGTGGCCAGTGCCATCCTTCTCTGAGGCAGTGACTCCCACCCATCCATCCCAGAGCTGCGTTTCCTCTCAACGTTATGTCCCGACCCCAGTCCCTTGCGTCCTGGACCGAACCAACACCACCATAACAACACGGGCCCATGTAAAGAAAAACCATGAAAGCAGAAGACAGAAGTTGTGACAGAGCTCCCTCATTTCCTAGCTGCACGTCCCCAGGCAAGTCACTTACCCTCTCTGTGCCTCAGTTTCCTCAGAGAGAAAAATGGAATGATAGTACTTACCTCGTGGAGTTGTTGGTGATGAGTAAACCTCTATGCAAAGCATCAGAACAGTGCCGGGACACAATAATGGTGATGAGGATTTTAACTTTGAAGTTTACACAGGAAGTCTATCTGGCCCAACACCTCATGGCACAGATGAGGCAAGAGAGGCCCACCAAGGCTAAGTGACGTGCCTGGGAACACCCAGCTGGCTGTGGCAGGGCCACCAGCACGCAGGTCTCCTGGGTTCCCGTGCGGTGCTGCACCCACCACCCTGTGGCTGACTCTGCATTCTGCATCTGTAGTTATGTTGACTACCGAAACTGAGTCCAGGGGTTTTGCTGTGTGGAACTGGACAAAAAACATCATCTCTCTGTGCATTCTTTCTCATTTGTAAATGACAGTACTACTTACCTTGAAGGATGGTTAAAGGGACTGTAAATAGTATTTTAAACTATCTCGCTCAGTCCCCAGCACAGAAAAGATGCCCAATAAATGGCAGTGACGGGTGAGAGGCTTCCTTCAGCAAGGTCTGCCATGCCCTTAGTGCTGCGCCCTCCTAGAGGAGGGACTTGGACCCTTGCCTCATACTAACAGAATCTGCTTGGGCTTCCTTAATAAGGTGAAAGCCTGAAATTCAAGCCGGTGACCTAGTGACTATAAATGCAAGTCCTGCAATTGGCTGCTTACATGCTCTCCCTTTCCCTCTCCCTATTGTAAATATTGCAAAAAAAAAAATTAAATGGCATTACATATCCCAATTCCATCTGACTCAGGAAGTGGGACATAAAGAGGCCCCTGAGGCACACTCTGGGCCTGCTTGTGGCTTTTTCTATTTAACCTTTTAAATGATGTGAGGTCAATAAACAGCAAGTTATGGAGTCATTAGACATAAGTCCATTTCATCACCAAGTATACTGTTGGTAAAGACTAGATGTTCATTAAAAATAAGAATGATAACATCAGTATTTAAGTGAAGAAGGCTCAGGGGCCTCGGCAGATCTCCCCACTATAAACTCCATAGCATTTGATTTGTGCAATTTTGTTATGTCAAGTACCACTGTCTTCCTTACAGAATCTCAGGACCTCAATAGTCATTCAGTCTGGTTATCCATCAAACTGTTTCATTCCCATGAACACTCCAGAAGCCTGTCCTGGGACAATTCCACTGATGAGGAGTTCACTACCCATCCAAGTGGGCATTTCTTCTCTGGACTCCTTGAATTACAGTTATGTCTGTACTAGAGAACCTCCCTTAATGACGGTTTCACATCGATTTCATCTCGGTATCAATAACTCCACCTCACAGGCAGCCCCGCACACATTACACTTGCACAACGTAGTCACTGAATAGCTGATGAATGAACACAGAAACACTGTGAGAAAGCCTGGAGACAGAGGAGGAGGTAAGTGTGTTGAATCTGATCTATCTATCCACATTAGTCTCACACTAATAGTCCCTGAAACCTACAAAACCAAACTCAAGCAAAACTTTCCCATGTCTCCTTTCCCAACACCAGAGAGCAATTACTTTAGAGCAAAGCCTTTTGCTACAAGCAAGATTCTCAGTGTGGTCCCGAGACCAGCACCATCAGCATCACCTGGGAACTTGTAAGAAATGCAAATTCTTGGGCTCCGTCCCAGAAACTCTTGGGGTGGGACCCAGCAATCTGTGTTTTTAATACAGTGACACTGATGGCTGGAAAAACACTGTGCTACAATTTTGATATATTTAGGCTTGACTCTGCCCACCCTGCACACACCTGTCCTTTTGAATGGATGGCAGGGCAGGCTGAGGACAGTGAGAGGCAGCCCTGAGACCTGTGCTCAGCTCTTCGAAGAAAAAGGTCCAGGCGGCACATGGACATCCTGGAAGCCAGACACCTTACCATGGTCCCAAGCACAGAGCTCTCCAGAAGGAGCTTCATTTTCCTCCCACCTGCTTATACCAAAACCATTCTTCCTTCACCAGTCCTTCATGAAACCATCTAATTTTAATTTTTTTAATTTATTAACTACCTAATTAGTGCCCAGCCCTGTGGCACCAGAAAAAATATACAAATAAGCCTTGCTCCCCTCCGTCTAGCAGAGGCAACCTGTGTGCCAAGCAGGAGGGAGGTGGGAAAGACACATCCAAGCAAGCACGGGCTCTGCGCAGGGGCCAGCAGAGGGGCTCGAGGGTGTTGGGGCGGCCTCCCAAAGGAGGTGGGACGAGCTGCAGCTTGTGAGGCTGAGGAGGCTATCACCAGGCAGACAAAGGAGGCGAGGGCTTTCAGACACCAAAGCACGTTCCACACAGAACCTCGGGAGAACCCTGGGGAATTCAGGAGAGCCGGTATGAAAAGGGACCTGAGACTGAGCATGAGGGGGAATAACCAGAGAGGAAGCTGGGCAGGACTTCATTCTGAAAATGTGAATTCAAGGGAGAACTTACTCAGGTTTACATGGTAGAAACCTCACTTAAGGCTACAGTGCACAGATGGATTTGAAGGTAGCAAGAGGCTGTTGGAATTTTTTTTTTTTTTTGCCTAAGTCAAAGATATTTACTTATTCCTTTGCTAAACACAATAACTAATTTCTATCTACAATGTTTTTTGAAGATTTTATTTCTTTTTACAGAGAGGGGAGGGAGGGAGAAAGAGAGGGATAGAAACATCAATGTGCAAGAGAATCATCAATCAGTTGCCTTTTGCACACCCCCAACTAGGGACCTAGCCCACAACCCAGGAATGTGCCCTGACCAGGAATCGAACCAGCAACCTTTTCATTTCACAGGCTGACACTCAATCCACAGAACCACACCAGCCAGGGCTACAACTATTTTTTAAAATGACAAACAGCAGGTCAACTGAAGTAACCGCACTGGCCTTGAGCTATGGAATACTGTTACCCTTTGACACTTGGCTGAAAAACAGGGCCGTGGGTGGTGCCACAGCAGCAGGGACGCAGCTAGCAGGCCTTCTCCAAGCAGGCTTGGGGGTTCCTTCCGCAAGGCTGGTTCACGGTCTCAAAGTCGGACTCATTCCCCTAACAGGGGCCTTCCACAATAACCTGGTTTTGTAGGCCACAGTTCCCAAGTAGTTCCATTTTAGCTTCGCTGTTTTTAACTTGGTTGCTTTGTGTAGCCAAGCCTCTCAGAATGCTTTCAGCCATACAGAGTATATAATCAAACGTGGCAAAGTCTTCTCCAGGAACCTGCCGGGTAATGTGATTCATGGGAACACCACGCTTCTTCATGCAATTCTGTCCTTGGTGACCAGGGGCTTCCTATTTCATCCGTTGATGTCGCCGCACTGTCTATCCTCCAATTACCTGAAACGTTCTGATCAGTTACAAGTTTTCTGAAAACTGCTCCTGCCGGGTGACTGATGGATGCTACCCAGACACACGAGCAGCCCCGACTGAGGCAACGACCGAGCCACCTTCCTCGCAAATACTGAGGCATCCAGTGACCAAGCAGACCCTTCTGGCACAGCACATGTGCACTGCAAGTGTCCATATTTTAATTTTCTCTGTGAAACAGTAAGGACTTCAGGACAGGTGAGAGGTTACAGAGGGAGAATTTGGTGCAAAGGAGCCAGTATAAACAGCGAAGAGGAGCCCGGAGAGACTAAGAGCCTCCCTGGCCATGTGCTACCCAGCACCATCCACCTCCCCAGCCCCACTCAATGCCATATTTCACTTCCTTCTTGGCTTTCCCTCCCACTCACTGGCCTTTTCATTTTTTGAATATTTTTCTTTCTACCACAGAGCATTTGCACAAACTTTTTCCCTCTGCCTGCACTGTCTCCCACCCCAATTTGCCTGATTAATGCATCATCATCCTTCCAATCTTGATTCAAATGTCCTTCCCCAGAGAAGTCTTTCTGATCAAAATGAGGACCCCGGTTTGTTACCTTGCTAGAACTAATCATGTATCAGTATGTGTCTCTCCCACGACAGGCAGTGGGCAGGCCCTGTGCATCTGCATGCCATTACCTCTCCAGGGACCAGCGCGGGGCCTGCCTCTGGCCAGCACTCACTATCAGCTAAGGGAAGAAAGAAAAACGCCCAGGTTTCTGACTTGGGCGACTGGGTAAAAGGATACAGGAAGAGAATGAGTTTGGTCCAGGGCTGGCTTACATACCTGGAGTTTGGGAAAGATTTATGGATTTTCGAACTGGCAAGGTAGTGATATAAATTAAAGATATGGGGAGGAGAGATTATGGAAAAGAGATGAAAGGTGTGAACACAGGTTTCGGAAAACACTGGTATCTTAAGAGGAGCGGGGTGGGGGGAAAACGATTTTTAAAAAGTGAGTTAAGAAGGACTCACACGTCAGCAACAGGAAGGAGTAGGGTTTCCAGATGACAGAACCAATACCACCGGTCCTGGCCGTTGCTAACTACTGAGCGTGTGCCACGTGCCAAGCCTGTTCCAGTGCTTCAAGTAAAGAATTTACTCCCAGCAATCCTCAGCCCCCTCCTACAAATGAGCAGAAACGCAGGCAGAGCCAGAACAATAGCAGATACCTAAGCAACATCCAAAAAAAATGGGTGTGTCTCTGGCTGGGGTGGCTCAGTGCGCTGGGTGCTGACTGCAAACTGACGGATCGCCAGTTGATTCCTGGTCAGGGCACATACCTGCGTTGCGGGTTTAGTCCCCCGTTGGAGGCACACGCAAGGGGCAACTGAGCGATGATCCTCTCACGTATCA